TTAAGGTTTTTTTTCTTCTCTGTTAGGGTAAATTTCCTTCTTTGTTAAGGTTTTTTTTTCCTTCTTTATTATGTTTTTTTTTTTTTTTTTTTTTTTTTTTCTCTCTATTAAAGTTTAATATATGAAATTTATTGATGGGTATTTTTTTCTCTCCCTGTTAAATGACTTCACTACATTTCCTTCTCTATTAAGGTTTTTTCCTCTCTTTAGGGTAATTTTTTTTCTTTGTTAAGGTTTTTTTTCTCCTTCTTTGTTAAAGTTTTTTTTTCCTTTTTTGTGATATATGTTAGGATTTCTATATATCTATTTCTCTCTCTACAGTATGTCTATAAAGTTAAGCCTTTTTTTTTTTTTTTTTTTTTTTTTTTTTTTTTTTTTTTTTGTAATTGACTGATTGAATGCTACGACTCATTTGATTTTGTGATCCATATTACAGTGATTTTTTTTTTCCCTTCTTTGTTAGGGTTTTTGTTTCAAATTTTTTTCTGATTGCTTTTGTGGTTCCTAGCATAACATATTGATTGCTTTTGTGGTTCCTAGCATAACAAATTATTTATATATATATATATTTACTATAAGTTGTCGAATTGGCTATTTCTATCTCCATTCAATACATTTTTGCTATTTTATATGTTTGTGTTGTTTGTTTATGTGGTTAAGAGTTGCTGGTTCTCATAATGGCGGACCACATAGCCTAAAAAGTTAGGTTTCTTTTTTATTTTTTTATTTTTTTATTCTTGTCTTTGAATAATTATTCCAAACACACTGCGACTTTATTATTTATTGCTACACATTATTCTTGTGACGACCCTAGATTTTTCAACCTATTGTGTCCTGTGATGAACCAAAAGAATGACCTGATAACGGATCCGAAATGCGGAAACGAAGGAAATTAAGTGGCCACTAGAGATGTACGTCATCCCTAAGGTATTAAAATGACTCCCCATGGCATGATCAAATTGCATTATATGCTATTGTGTGATAATGTGAACATACACGCAAGTGTAAAATGGAATTTTAAACATGCTACAATGGCCCATGGCCTTATTACAACTCATTTACAACATTTGAAAAATTACATTTCATAGACAAATCATAAACATGCTAACACTTGCATGTGAACAAGAATGTTTCTAAAGAAGCTCAACTCAGCAAATCACCCAAGCAATTGCAATCTCCAATCTTGTATCCTGTACCTGAAATATGTCCCAGTATCGTAGGGGTGAGTAACATAAAACTACTCGTAGGAAATGAGCATGCATCGACCTACGTTTTACAAGTGTACATGATTTAATCATTGTGGTTCATTCCACCTAACGTCTATGTCAAAGGTGAGACTCAGGGAGCATCCTAGCTACCTTAAATCATTTTTAGCATAAAACACATCCTTTATGCAATTTCAACAACACAAGAGCATGCTACACATAGCAACAAGATATAACATGCTTACACAAAGCAACTAGTTAGAAACATGCTTACACAAAGCAACTAGATAGAAACATGCTTACACAAAGCAACTAGATATAGATTCTCAAAGTTATCAACTTGAAATCTAAATGCTAAATCAACTAAACATAGCAATTTAGTATGGATGTACTTAACAACATCAAATTGCTAATAGCCAAAACCACAATCACAATATAAACATGATTGATAACTTGGAATTGAATGCAAAGACAAATAGTGAAGGATTTGGACATCACGTCTCGGACTAAACCAAGAACAAATTGGTTATTCCGGGTATTAACCCGCTGGGAAGACCACCCTAGTGCGCACTATCTCAATTGGGGAGAATTCATACCTCCCGCACTAAAGCCGAACTTTAGCCATATCACAGTAATAATGTTCCAAGACTCCAAAATAATCAAATAAGTTTACAACTTATACGTAATTTATATAATGCACTAAGTCACCTTCCATGCACAAGTAGATTGTATCCACACAACACATGCTCTAAATCCACAACTACTATAGGATGACAATGTCGAATCTTCAAAGTGCGATTCGTTACACGCTATAACAATATAATCCAATATTGAAAACATAAACTCATAAATTCATTATAAGTCAAAAGTCATGCTTTAAACATACTATCAATGTCAAATACATGAGTTAATCAATAATACCATAGAAACAGAATTTAATCTATAAACTAATTAAATTCCCTAGGTTTCAAATCTCAATTAAATGGCCTCCAATTAATATATGATAAACAATATAGCATGGTCATTACATACACCACATCAAAACTCAATTAGGCCATAAGAACAATAAAGTGGAATTTAATTAAATCATGATAATCAAATCCCTAACTTCTAAAACAATATCAAATGGTTCCAAATTAACATATGCTAGAACATAAGTCATAGTTATCACAAATATTAAGTTAAACACTTAATTAGGCCAATGGAACCCTTAATTAGATTTTAATTAATCATTTTAATTAAAATCTCTAGATTTTCATACTTGTCCAAATACTCTCAAATTAAAATATGTTAAACAACATGCTAAGACATAATTTAAAAGCATATCACAAGTCAATTTCTTGCAAGGTACGGGCATGGGATTTAATCTTTTACAAGAGATAAATATTAAATAAAATATGCATTTTTTATTCAATCAATACCAATTTAATATATGTTAACAAATATATTAAAACATGATTTTCTAGCATGCCACAATTCAAATCAAAGTTATATATCATCATGAATTTTAAATCATATATAAAGAAATAAAAATTACCAACTTTCTAAATTTGATACAAGGCATACATATAAGTTGTATAATCATGAGAAACACTCAATACAACACATATAAATCCTAAAACATTTCCTGCCTCAATTGGAATGAAAATCCCAATTACCACCGAAATGAAATCGTCCTAAATTTTTGGTCCGCAAGACAGATATTTCAGCTTGTTACCTTCAACTTGGGAAATTTATAAAAAATTCAATTCTAATCCAAATTGAATAAATCCAAAGCCCAATGAAAGCTTAAACACTGTAATTTGATAATATCAATTTAGTTTAATAAAATATTTTCCCAATTGAAACAGTTTTGACCCACAACTTTGAAACAAATTCTGCCCAGAAAACACATTTTTAGCCTGTAGCTTTCAACTTTGAAAATTCATGAAAAATTCATTTGACATCCAAATTGGGCAAAACTAATTTATTTTGGAAGTAAACATATGAGAGTGTAAAACTGGAAATTTAAGCCATGATCCAATGTTAAAAGGTTAGTGAAATAAATTATCTAAAAATATGTTTTCTAGCTGCAATAAAAACATGGACAGTAGATAGTCATGGATTTTTAAAAAAATTTAGAAATGCTCTAAAATATTGAAAAAATTCTAAGTAGTGTAAAATCCATGGGGAAAGTTCCAGTAAAAATTTCAAGGTAATTGAAGCACCACAACTCCATATAAAAATTCATTTCCGGACCTGATAAAAAAGATTTAAATTTCCAACAACTAGCTTGCAACTTCAAAAATTCATAATTAATTCATTTTAAATCCAAATTACATAAAACCAAAACTAAATGGAAGCTAATTGATTATATTTTCATGTTATATATTTAATTTGACAAGATTTATTTCAAGTTAAAACAGTTTAAGGGCAGAATACAAGTCCTTCTCTTCTATGCATGTAAAACACTCAATAATGATATAAAAATACTTTAAAATAATAGATCAATACCTCACTAGAGAATTGAATCCCTAGATACCAAGCAAAATTAGGAGTTAGGCTAGATCCTTCAAGGGTTTTGACGAGGAGGATGAGGGGAACAAAAAGTATTCCAAGCTTTATAGTCTAAAGTAAGTAGAAGGGCCTCAAAGATCAAGGTCAATGCCTAAAGCTTCAAGCTTCATCCATGGAGGCTAGGGTTTTGTGATGAGGAAGAAAGAGATGAAATGTGAAAATGTGTGAGTGGAGGAAATAGAAATCCTCCACTCACTATGTGATCCTACACCATATTCACAGCACACATCTATGGTCAATTGCACAAAAACCCTCCTTTAAAACTATAATCCCAAAGTGGCCCAAAGATATTTGCAAGACTAAATTATGAACCTACACTTGTCACCAATTCATGGCTCCTTCCTAGGTTTAATCCCACACCTACACTTGTCAACTATCCAAGCTAATAAGTGCACCAATCCTAGGCCAACAAGTGGGTGATCCTCACCCTCCAAATGTCATCATCCAATGCATCAAAGTGTTTCCACACAAATGTCAACAAGTGGACCAATGAGAGTGTGACACTTGTCACACTTTTCAAAAATTGCAAAAAGGTTCTTTTTGAAAATATCTTTCAAATTTAATTGCAAAATGGTCCCCAAGATGAAAAATAATTACTTTATTTAATTACACTAAAACCCCACAAGTTAAGAAGAATTACACTAAAGTATGGATTAATGCCCCTTTATGAAGGAAGTAAGCAATCAACATGCTTTTCTAGAAACGTAAAAATACCACTATCATGGAAATCAAATATCATGAATGCATGCAAAACCGGAATCAAATCCGAGCACAAAAAGTGAGGTTGTGAAAGGAAAAAGGATAAACGAGAAAAAGACAAAATGTGAATAGTGTTCGGAAAAATAAAATATGGAAATTGCACAATCCCCAAAGGAAGTTGTCAATCCAAGGAAAAGAGTCACGGAAATCATTCCAGAGCACTCGAGACGACATTAAGTGATGAAAAACCGAACCCAAAAAGGAAAAGACAACGGAAAAAAAAAAATCCGTGAAAATCCGGGTTATTACAATTCTTTATTGTACATGTATACTGACTTTAATATTGCATGTCTATAATAACTTTATTATTTTTTAATTTCCACATTGTTCTTTATTGTACATGTACACTAACCATGTTTTTTAGTGTCCATGCCATGCATATTGTATGATGGATCTATAGATCCCGCTCTGATATTCATGGATAGTTTCAGAGTTTTACTCATTGTTAGTGGTGTTGTGTACTTTGTAACTATTTAGAAGATGGAGACAAGTCATTTAATTCACCTGCATCATTCTGGCAATTTCGGCAAGCGTAACAAGTATGTTGGAGGTGACTTGGAGTTGTTTGATGATGTGGACAGTGATACAATGTCATACATTGAACTTCAAGGCATGCTCAAAAGCCTTCATTTGAATGCACACGGCAAGATTTTCTATATGGATCCCATCCATGGGCATTTATTACAAGTTTTTAATGACCTAAGTGTGATGGCTATGTTTGAGACATACAATTTTAATATTCCGCTGATCCACATTTATGTCAGTAAGCCAAATGAAGCTGTTAGATCAATGGAAGAAGAAGTTGACACTGATATTGACAGTGTTTTTAATGCTAAAAATCAAAATGTTAACAGTGATGGCAATGCTAAAAATCAAAATGTTAACAGTGATGGCAATGCTAAAAATCAAAATGTTGAGAATAAGAATGCTGACAGTGATGACAATGCTGAAAATCATAATGCTGAGAATGATGAGTTTGGTAATATTAAAGTGGATGACGAGGAATTGGATGATGTGTCCTTATATGCACCAAGTGATGAGTTATGGAATATTCACAGTGAATCTGATGATGAAGAGATTAATAGTGCACCTAAACAACCAAAAACCAAAATTGCAAGAGATGAGGAACAAAGAATTGGTTATAGGCATAAAGTTTGCGAATGCTAAAGAATTTACAGCTGTCTTGAGAGAGCATGCTATTGCTAACAGGTATGACATAAGGTTTAAGAAGAATAAAAGAAAAAGGGTCATTGCTACATGTGTGAATGGATGTGGATGGAGGATACATGCCTCTTTGAGAGGAAATGGCAGCTTTGAGCTAAATACAATTAAACCTCATAATCTTAATTGCCCTGAATCTGAGATAAATAGGCAAGTAACTTTTACCTACATTTCAAAGAAGTATGTGCACAAATTTAGGAAGCTACCTGAATGGAAAAATGATGGTATCCAACACCATGTTGCTGATAACTTAGAGATTGAAGTGTCTAGGTTCAAAGTGATGAGGGCAAAGAGGAAGGCCTTGCAGATTATAAAGGCCACCATGAGGACTAGTTTTCCAAAATTAGAGAATATACCCTTGTAATGAAGACAAATCCTGGTAGTGTTTGCAAGGTAAAGGCAAAGTTGGAGCCTGATGGGATGTCAACAAGATTGGAGAGAGCCTTTTTCTCTTTAAATGCAATGTGGAAGGGGTTTAAGGAGGGTTGTAGGCCTTTCATTGGATTGGATGGTTGTTTCTTGAAGACTCCTTATAATCAGATTCTGCTTAGTGCTGTTGGTAGAGATGGAGACAGCAGTTTTTATCCTATTGCACTTGCTGTTGTTAAAGCAGAGACTAAGGATAGCTGGGATTGGTTCATAGAGGAGTTGATGGCTGTTATTAGTCCCCACAAAGCAATAACTTGGATTTCAGACAGATAGAAGGTAAAATTTTTATTTATATTTTTTTGAAGTAATTCAGTTATTTTGTTTAGATGTACTCATATGCAGTTTATATATAAAGCTAACTGAGAAATTGTTTTATATGTTACCTTTAGGGCTTGGTGGACACATTTGCATCTTTGGATGGTGGTCAAGATCACAGGTTTTATGTTAGGCACTTGCATAAGAACTTTAAGAAGAAATATCCAGACATGGAGTTGAAACAAATGGTGTGGAATGCTGCAAATGCATTCAATGAACCTGAGTTTGAGAAACATATGCAGAATATAAGGGTACTCAATGGTGAGGCATATGACTGGTTCTGCAGAATCCCATTTAGGTTTTGGACTAAGTCTAAGTTCACAGATTCTTCTAAGTGTTGTCTTAATAGTAATAATATGTATGAATCATGGAATTCACACATATTAAAGGCAAGAGACAAGCCTATCATTACAATGTTTGAGATGATTAGAAGGGGTTTAATGTCAAGGTTTCATGAGAGGAGGGAATGCATGGGGCAACAAACGGGGCTTTTGTGTCCAGCTGCAAAGGCTAAAGTGTTGGTAAACAAGAAGGAATCAAAGAATTGTGCAGTATATTTTTCTTCACTATCTTGTTATGATGTCCAAGATGAGATTGACAATGAGTTTGTAAATCTACAAGAGAGAAATTATGCATACTTGGAATGGAATGTCACAGGTATCCCATACAAGCATGCCATTGCTGTTATGACTAAGAAGAAACTACCTATTGAAGAATATGTTGATGCCTACCACCATAGGTCAACATTTTTTAAGGCATATGCATTCAAGATCAATCCATTGGTCTTTAGGCACATGAAAAAACTACCACTTGTGCCTTTGATCTCTCCAATAGCTAGGAAACCTCCCGGAAGGCTAAAGAAAACAAGAATGAAAGCTCATGCTGAAGGTACATCTAAATCAAAAAATATATTTAGACAAAGACCTTACCTTATGTGTGGAAAGTGTAAAGCTCATGGTCACAACGCAAGGACCTACAAAAATCAATGAGTAGAGCCTTGACCACCAAAAAGCAAAGGAGGCAGGCCTTCAAACCCTCAACTTGGAATATTGCATATTTCTAATGGTGACATTTAAGATGTTGAGAATCAAAGAGGTGATGGGAATGGTAGAGGTAATATGAATGAGATAATTAGAAGAGTTGCAGCCATACAAGGGACTGGGAGAAGGACAGCAGGGATAACATAAGGAAAAGGTGATGGGATTGTTAGAGGGACTGGGAGAGGAAGAGCAACAGGGATAATACAAGGAAGAGATGATGGGAATGTTAGAGGGACTGAGAGAGGAAGAGCAATAGGGACAACATAAGGAAGAGGTGATGGGACTGTTAGAGGGACTGTGAGAGGAAAAATAGCAGAGACTAGAGGTAGTGGTAACATTGGAGTGACAACACAAGGAAGGGGTGCATTGGGCAGTGGTAGCAGTGAAATGACAACACAAGGAAGGGGTACATTGGGCAGTGGTAGCAGTGGAATGACAACACAAGGAAGGGGTACATTTGGCAGTGGTAGGGGAAGTAGTAGCAGTAGACTGACAACACAAGGAAGGGGTGCATTAGGTAGTGTTCACATTGAGACTTCCAACTTTGTAGATGTTCCAATCACAACTAGTGAGGTATATTGTGCTTAACATCCTATTTGCATTAAAATAATACTTATTTGTGCCTTTGATATGACCTAATTATTTGCTCAAAACTGTATAAATAGGTTATTAATGTTACATAATCTAATATTGTTGACGTGCCTACTCTCCTATCGCAAGCAACCTAAGACAGCCAAGACTGGTGGTATTAGGTATTGCATTGAATTTACATTTATATAAACTGGTGGGATTTATTTTATTTTATTGAATTGACATTGCCAAAACTGGTGTGGCATTGATATTTATAAAAAAAAAAATAAAAATTAAAAAAAAAAACTAGTGTGGCATTGCACTGAATTAACATTGCCAAAACTAGTGGCATTTATTTTATTGATTTGAATTGTAATTGCCAAAAGTTATGGGATTTATTTTATTATATTGAATTGACATTGCCAAAACTAGTGTGGCATTGATACTTATCCAAAAATAAATAAACTGGTGTGGCATTGCATTGAGTTTACATTGCTGACATTTATTTTATTGCATTGAATTATAATTGCCAAAAGTTGTGGGATTTATTTTATTATATTGAATTGACATTGCCAAAATTGGTATGGCATTGATACTTATCCAAAAATAAATAAACTGGTTTGGCATTGCATTGAGTTTACATTGTTGGCATTTATTTTATTGCATTTGAATTGTAATTGCTAAAAGTTAAGGGATTTATTTTATTATATTGAATTGACATTGCCAAAATTGGTATGGCATTGATACTTATCCAAAAAAAAAAAAAAATTGAAAAAAAACTAGTGTAGCATTGCATTGAATTAACATTGCCAAAACTGGTATGGCATTACATTGAATTAACATTGCCAAAACTAGTGGCATTTATTTTATTATATTGAATTGACATTGCCAAAACTGGTGTGGCATTGATACTTATCCAAAAAAAAAAAAAAAAAACTGGTGGCATGGCATTGAATTGACATTTATATAAACTGGTGGCATTTATTTGCATTTACTTTTAAGACAGTTTGCATTTATTTTTAGGACAGTTTGCATTTATCGGGTTCTTATTCATGCTTTGTTTAATGTTCCAAGTCATTACTTGTTGGCTAGTTTGCATGGACTATTGATGGATTTTGGTATCTCAGTAACATATGCAGAATTGTGTAGGGTATGACTTAAATTAGTACAACAATTACTTTTGTGTATGATGGTGAAAATAGTACTACTTTTGGAGTTGTTGAAACTAGTATTACTTTTTGCATAGGATGACTTGTATAGGCATGCTTACTTTTTGACTAGGATGAACAATGAAAGTGGTTCTACATGGGTTTTTTTTTTTGTTTGTGTTGAAAGTGGTACCTTTACTGAAGGTGAAACTGGGTCTTGTTTAGGATGATTATTTTGGTAAATTAACTATTCCAGTTCCTGCAAGTTTATGAAGGTGCATTGGATTTTTTTTTTCCTATTTAATGTTTAGTGAATGCTTATTAGTAAGGTATTTATTGGTATGGTTGAATGGTTTGATAAATATGACATTGGTATAGTTGAATGGTTTGATATATATGGCTTGCACTGTAACGACCCGCTCCACCACATGGTATGATATTGTCCGCTTTGGGTCTCAGCCCGCACGGTTTTGCTCTTTGGTTTTACCCCAAAAGGCCTCATACCAATTGGAGGTGACAAACTTACATATAAGCACTTCACCTTTCCTCCACCCAGGCGATGTGGGACTGTGCACCGCACCCGTAGCTCGCCAGTGTGGTAGCCTGACAGTGTCTCTCGCACCCGCCCACGGCACACCCGCCCACAGGGTCATCACAATCCACCCCCCCTTGGAGGCCCGACGTCCCCGTTGGCACACTTCCGGCTGGGTTAGGCTCTGATACCATTTCATTTTATAAAAACTCCTTTGACCTTAATCCCATCCTAGTCAGTTGTTTAATCATTTAAACAACAAATTATAATAAAAGAAATACTCTATTTAATCCCAACCCGATAATGATTTTAATTGTTTAAATCACAAATCCAAAATCCAAGTTTTGACAAATCATCCACGTCTTCCTCAATATTATTTTATTAATGTAAAATAATACACTAACCAGTAAGTACTAAACTATTCTCATTTAAGAATATCTAACCCTAATCCAATCCATACATACAACAACCATAGATGATATTTTAATCATCTAACACATAACAACGTAATTATGCTTTGGCAAATCAACCATGCCGTTACAAATATTTTTATTTATATATTGGCAATTCAACCATGCTTCCACAAGTATATATATTTATACATTGGCAATTCAACTATGCATCCGTGTATATATATTTATACATTGGCAATTCAACCATGCCTCCACAGGTATATTTATTCATACATTTAATTAGCAATTCATCCATGCGTCCCATGTATGTATTATATTCATACAAATATTTATGTAATATTTTTAATCCTTTGGCAATTCATCCATACCTACATCTTAACCATGAATCACTTGAAACTTAACAATACGCTAAATCATACATAACTATCTCACGCATATTATACGCATATTATTGATTTAATAATCAACCTATCAAGATACAACAAATAAGAATGATAATATTAATCATTTTAAATGATATATATTTATATATATACCTACACATATATTATTTAATATATATATGTGTGTTTAACACCTTCCTTAATAATCCTTAATTTTTTTAAAAATCAATATACATATATGTATATATATATATATATATATATATATACATATATTCATCCTTCTATACAATTCATAAACGAATTAAACTATATATACGCATATATAAATATATATATATATATATATATATATATATATATATATATATATATATATATACCCACACACACTTCCCTCCATAATAAATTATTAATTTATTATATTTACACAAATTAATGCTACTAAATATGTCAGAAATAGTTTCCCCTAAATACTCCATACCGGTTTAAATAGTTTTCCGACACCGTCTTACTAAAACGTAAATATCTCTTATTAGGATGAGAATCTGATAATGAAATTGGTACCATTGGAAAGAGGACGAAAAATCCTTGAATTTGAGCTCAAGAATGACCCAGTTTCGATTTAAAATGACTAAGTTATGACCGTTTTAATTTTATGTCACAAACAGGCAAAATAATTGGCTGAGCTCAAACACTACTGTGAGCGCGCCCACACTTAATTAGCTCACTTGAGCTCACACAAATGCACCCACACCAGATTAGCTCACTTGAGCTCACATGTATGCACCCACACCAGATCAATCTTCTGTTGACCAAACTTAATCCATGGTCCAGATTCACATGTGCACTCTTTTGTGTACACCGCAATGCACCGAATCATTCCACTTATATCTAAACTATTCCAATGGCCCAGATTAGTGGTGTAACCTCTTACCATGCACCGTCCTACACCAGATTACTACCCTATTGTTGCGCCCACCTTACAAACGCCGCCTCCAGTGTTGTATATATATATATATATATATATATATTATAAATTATCTATATAATTTTGCCAAATTAAGATAGAAAATAATTCTTGAATAATTCCAAAAAATATAAAACACATTCTAAAATTAATCTAAAAATTCCAGAAAATTCTCATAAATGCTAGAAACACTAATTAACCCTCTTGGGTCTAGATCCAGCCTATCGATTGATGTAAACAAAATATACAACACATATATAAAACAATAAAAATCTAAAATTCCAAAAATAAAATATAATAATTCATATTTTTAAGATTCCGTTCTAACCATCATTTAATCAATAAATTTAATCTTAAATTTTGATACTCAAGGTGAAATCCTTATGAGTTCTAAGAGGAAAGTTAGAGAAGAACTCGCCTGAAGGTTTCGAAACGAAACCGACGCTTTAAGCTTTAATTATCTCTTCTAATTCCGACGTCCTCCTTTTCAGACCCGACCTCCTCCTTGTCAGCCCTTCTTCTTCCTCTCTCTCTGTCTATTTTATTTTTCTAACGTGTAAAACCTTTAACCCTAAAGCTTTATGTGTATTTTTATACACCTTAAATTCCAAATCCTATTCCAACTAGTATTATGAATTAAAATAATAATCTTTAAATAATTTATATCTATAAACATATATATATATATATAAATATATATTCCTTCCATAATTAACCCATTAGTTAATTAAATCATATATGCATATATATATCAATAAATATATATCTACATATATATTTCCATAACAATTATTAATTAATTATATATATATATATATATATATATAATTAATACAAAAAGTGATCATTTAAATAATTAAATAATTACGGGCCTTCATTAATTAACCCAATAAGGTTTCATACAAGCCCAAGACCACGTCTTTTGGTCCAACTTTCCTTAAACCCAATCCAATTAATTTAAATAAATAAGATACTTAATTAAATACTGAAATTAAAATAACTAATTACATAAAGCACATAAACAAATAAGAATTTACAACTAAGTCACACAATACCAATAAAATCAACACACCAATAATTCAATCAATAATCAACCACGCAAACAATCAATCATCATACATAATCACGAAA